GGACCCTTCTACAAGAGTCCCCCTAATCCTAACTCCCAATAATGCATAATCAGCAGCCGACTTGTGAGGCTCGGGTGACGAATCGGGAATGGAGAAGTCTGAACTCTGTGGTGTTGTATCTGGAGTTTGGGGTTTAGAGCTTGAGTCCTAGAGGGTCTAGGGTCTGGGGGTCCCCCAAAAAGCCCAAAACCCTGCGAACACCAGTGAGAGGGAACCAAAACCGGTGTTTTGGGGATATAGGCTACCCTAAACCCTAAACCCGACACCCGAAACCCGAAGCCCGAAACCCTAAACCCGGAACCCTAAACCCTAAACCGATATGATATGATATAGAACCAGTCCTCTGTAGAGTCCCAGTTGCGGAGCCGCCGAAGGAACGGATCGAGACCTGAGCTTCCGATCGGGTTTTTCTGTGAAGTGAATCCCAGAAAGTTGGAACATGGGGTTCAGGGTTAAGGGTTTAGGGTTTTTGCAACAGGGTTTAGGGTTTAGGGTTTAGGATGATTACCTGTAGTCTCCATTGCAGTTCCTTTTTGGGGATACCTTGTAGAATCCTCAATAAATACTTGGTTAAACGAAAAAAAGGAACTACAATGGAGACTATACGTAGTGCTGGAATTCCCTCTACTTTACCTTCAGAGCATGAGGGACAGTGATGTTCCAACTTTCTGGCTTCTACTGCAAGGGGGGACATTATAGCCAGCACTAAGATTTTCTTAGGGCTCCTGGTTCGACGATCGGGTTTAGGGTTTAGGGATTTATTGATTTTTGGACGATAGTTCAGTACGCCAAACCTACTCCGATAGTTCAAAGCTTCTACATGCTCCGCTTTGCCGATTTGGATCTGAGCGCTAGGATAAGGGGAGCCTCATTATGTGCACTAGTGTACATCAGGTCTAGGGGAACAAAAGCACACCCGTTTGGACCTCGGCGTTTGAACTTCAAATTTCTTCAAGGGTCTTGTGGCAGCGGGTATGGAGCAAAAAGAGGCGGAACAAGCAGTAAAACAAGGCCCCTAACACCTCCATAAACCCTAAACCCCTCAAAACTCTACATCTAAACCCTAAACCCTAAACCCTAAACCGCATCGAACACATCGAAGCAGGTGGCCATCCAGAGTGCCATCTCATGGTCCACTCGGCTTCTTGTCTAGTGGATCTGATTGAAAATTGAAGCCGAGAGGTTCAGAGTTTGGCGGTTTTGGGGTTCAGGGTTAGATATAAGCTATAAAGGCTTGGGACGATCCTTCAAAGGATTCTATACGGGTTTCGCTCTTTGAGGTTTTGCTCTTTAGGCTTTGGGTTGGAGGTTTGGGGTTCAGGTGGTATGGGTTAAGGCTTCAGATTCGGGCTCTTAGGTTGCGGGGTTCAGGTAGGTTTAGGATTTCTTGAGGGTCAAAGCCTTGAACGGCGATGGGACTGCTGTGAGCACTGAAAATGACTCCGTCCGGAAACCCGGAAGGGTTCGAGCTAGTTCGAGCATAGAGATTTAAGATTTCGTTGCGTTCGTTGAGTGCTGGGCCCAAGGTGGCCAAAGTGTATCTTCAAGTATAGGGTTTGAAAACAGCCGAACTGTCCCTGAATAGCAGTGCCTTGTGCCAGGCAAGGGGTGGGTCGGTAACTTTAAGCCTCTTTACTGGGCATATAAACTCCTACGATGCCTGTCGTCTCCATTGTAGTTCCTTTTGGGGGATACCTTATAAAATCCTTAGAAAAGGAACTACAATGGAGACGATAGGTAGTTATTTTTTTTCAACTTTTGTGTGCCAGGCACTGAGCCCCTCAACCCAAACCCAAACAGCAAAACACAAAACCCAACCATTACATTTCTGGAGGTTTAGGGTTTAGGGTTTAGGGTTTAGGGTTTTCCTACGGCATGAACGGGATGAAGTAATATACGGGCCTAAATGATTACCAATACCACTTTGGCGTTTAGAGGATAATGGATCCGCAAAACCCTATTCTTATTAGTAAGGCACCTGCATGAGGTGCTGCACCGAAGTACTTCGAATAGCGCTTTGGGTGACTTTAAGATTGGAGCCCCCAGAGGCAGGATTGATAATTATTGCGACCACTGTATGGGTAGTTCTCTAAATTAGGGTCCCTTTTTGGATCCCCAATATAGTACGGCACCCTTATAAAAGGGGAGCCCAAAAGGGACCCGAATTTAGAGAACTACCCGTATCACGAACCTCAAACCACTCAACATCCTAAGGCAGGTGCCGGGCTGACTCGCAGTAACTACCCAAGGGCCCTATGTAGTTCCTTTTTGGATAGTATACTATAATTCCTTACCAAAAAACCATAACCAACCCAAAAAGGAACTACTTTGGAGCCTCTGGCTAATGATTTCTTCGGGACTTTTGCACTGATCGTAGAAAAGCCCACAAGTTGGAAACAAAGTAGCTTCAATCCTTAACGGTAATGTATAGGGAATCCCAGCACCTTGTTTTTTCGTAATCCGGTTTCAAACTTTTGGGATTTACTGCGATCATTGCAACAATCCCGAAGAGATCATTGGTCACAAAGCCCTGCGGCCCAAACCCCCAAGCATTTCAAGATTTATAAGCAAAGTGCTTAAAGCGTATGTATTTGGAACCCTGAGCCATATATATATATATACAAAAAAACATAGTCCTAAATGCTATAGTGTAGAGCCTTTGGTTTTAGAGCCGCCCCCCGTCCCCTGGCCCAGGACTCCTCCATTTCGGGACACTTCTGCTGTGGTAGCCTCGCTGGCAGACCTTGAGCTGTAAATTCCAAAACCTCAAGCATAACGTACCTACATTGCTACATACACACGTCCGTGCACAGATTGGAATATGAAAATTGACACATATTCCTATATACATACAAACATGTATCTGTAAGCACATATATGCATATACATATGTATGCATGCACGCATGTCTGTATGTATGTATGTATGTATGTATGTATGTATGTATGCCCAGTCAGGTATACATGGTTTATCTTTTTTGGTTATTTAAATGTTTGTACATATATATATATATATACATATGTAGAGGGAGCCTGCCCGTCTGTGAAGCGACATGCGATGTGGATAGCGGGACGAACAGTTCTCATTAATATGTTACACGCACACCTACATACGTGTGTAGACAGGTATCTTCGTACTTCGTACATGCACTCATGTTCAAGAGTACATACACACTTGCACACATTCATGGATGCGCACATACACACTTTTTTATGCACACACACATACATACATACATACATACATACATACATACATACATACATGTGTACATGTGCAGGTTTTTTACATAGATACATATGCACATACCCGACATGCACGTATCAATACATGCATGCTGCTGCATGCACCCCCGCACACACCTATGCGAGTACATACCGGCACGCATATATGCAAATACATACTTGTATACATACATACATACATACATACATACATAGGCTCATGCAGATACATACATAGACACGGACATACATACAGAGAGACATACAACACACATACAGCACACACACACACACAAACATAGGGAATTACAGCTACATGCATGCATACACCACATACACACATACATATCCATACGTAGAAGGAAGCATACACTTGTATGTACTGACGTGCGCACATATGTAGAGTACATGCACATGTACACAAGCACACACACACACACACTCATACACACACACACACACGCGCACACACACACACACACGAACACACACACACACACACAAACACACACAAACACACAGACACATGCACACACACACACACGTACACGCACGCACACACGTATTCACGCACGTACAATCATACATATACACTCACGAGCATATGCGCGTACTGATGTGCATGTGCATCCGTACTTGCATACATGCATGAGCATGCTTACTGGCAAACTCAAGTCACATGTATACATACATCAAGACGTGTGTGCAGCCATATGCATGCATGCACTTTTCTATACCTGCATGCCTACATACTTACATCCATACATCGATGCACATACTTGCATAGGTTCATGCATACATACATACATACATACATACACGCACACATGCATGCATATATGCATACGCAAATGGATCCATATTGCAATACGCACGCAGGTGCCTATGTCCAGACGCACATGCTGCATGCATACTTAGCTCATCTACTATACTATACTTACTTACATATTTACTTACTTACTTCGTTACCTGCTTGCTTGCTTGCTTGTTTGCTTGCTTGCTTAGATACCCACATACATGCGTGCATGCATACATACATACTCACATACAGACTGACATACATGCATGCACACTAAAGCATACGTTGCATACTTACAAATTTACGTACATGCACAGATGCTTACTTACATTGTTTCGCTGGTTCATACACATACTTCCATGCCAAGTCATACAACAAGGCAGAGGTTTAAGCTTATACATGCAGACATAGTCGTTCATGCACACATATCTATGCCTATACCTTTACGCATCGAAACACTTGCTGATTACACATGTACATACATGTGCATGCAGATTCACACGTACTCGCACACAAGCATACATTTACATACTCATACATGCATACACATGTGCATCCACATGTGTGTGTGTGTGTACCCACGCGCATGTTTGTATACACGCGTGGGTCATGGAACTGCACAGTTCTATGTGCAGCGACTGTTTGCGTGCCCCTTGTTTCTGTGAATTCCTTCACCCAGTGCAAACTGGGGGGTTTTCCTCAAGGCAAGTGCCAAGCCGCCTTTTACGCGAAGCCGCAGGACTCCAAAGAGTCAAAGAGTCTTTTTTGGTCGAGTCGGGCTTGCGAGAGTCCTTGTAGGGTGACTTGGGCTGGAAAAAGACGGTTCAGGACCTAAGGCCGCACGAAGACCCTGAACCCGAGGGCTATGATCCCAACCTAACTTGTGGCTGCGGTCCTCCAGCAGCCAAACCGGGTAGCCGCAACACTTGTTACCCTTCTGTCTGGCGCAAGGGTACAAAAAATGTAGGGGTAGCGGCATGCTGCAGATCGCACGGGTGTCTCACATTTTCACCCTCACCCCATCTAAGCGTTCCTGTTGGGGAGGGTGCCAGAGACCCGCACAGCCTTTTAGTGTATTCCGTATCTTAGGGATCCTGAAGAAAAAGACACCCCTAACTTCCCCTAACAAAAGGGTATCATGATATGCCTACAGAGATGCTGTGGGAAGTTGTTTTTTGTGTCAGGCATTGCTCGAATCACCGCTGTGACCGCCGGCTAGCGGCCAACATTCCGCTATAGGACCAAACTCAGCACCAAAACCCAATACCTTCAATTATCTCCTAGGAAGTAGTAGGGAGACCCCTTTAAGGGTGCCCTTTATGAACCCTACTTAGTGGGCTCTTGCAAAAGAGACCTTATTGAGAGGGTGTCTATCCTTAAGGGTCCCCCGAATCCAAACTCTCAAACTCCCTGCCCTTAGCCCAAGAGCTAGTAGGGTGGTTCTCCAAATTAGGGTCCCCTTCTTGGTCCAAACCCTGAACCCTGAACCCCTAAACCCTAGGCTCCTAAACCCCTAAACCCTAAAGCCTCAACCCTAAACCCCAAAGCCTAAACCCTAAACCCTTAAGCCCCAGAACATAAGTCCCAGACGCCCGGGAACTCTTACGGCGAATCCGATCCGAGAAAACACCTCCGCCTTTCCGAGCGTTATATAAAGCTTTGCTGAAAGGTTTACAGGGTTTAGGGTTTAGGTTTTTGGGGGTTTAGGGGGAAAGGGTGTAGGGTGTCAGGGTTTAGGGTGTAGGGGTTTAGGTTTTAGGTTTTAGGTTTTAGGGATTGCAAGAGTCCTGGATGCAAAAGGTTTTAGGGATTAGGGTTTAGGGTTTAGGGTTTAGGGGTTTAGGTTTAAGAGGATTTGCTGAAAGGTTTAGGGTTGATCGGGTCCACCCGGCACTCCACGCTTCCGTCCGAGCCCTAAACGCTGTGCGCGAAGCTCCCGGTCCTGAAGAAAGCGGAAAGCCTCGATGTGGGTGGTTGTCAAAATTAGGGTCCCTTTTGGGGTCCTTATGATGCTACGGCACCTATATATTTAGGGTACCCCAAAGGGGACCATAATTTTGACAACTACCCATGTGTTCAAGCTTATTCCAAAGCCTGCTTCCCGAAGTTTATGACTGCCACCGAAGGGTGAAAACCAAAACGGAATGTAGGGCTGAGACAAGTACGAAATCTGGGGCATTGGGGCAAGGCTTCGGTTCGGGGTAGACTGTGTTCTTAGAAGTCTTATTGAGGAACTCGCTTTATGGGGAAATGATCGTGGATGCTGTGGTTTGATTATTCTGGTATATTTTGGCTTAAATTGAGTTCCTTGACAAGAGCCCGGTAGAGTGTGTGGGTTTCGGCCATTCTGAGAGTGAAGGGATCGTTGGTGCCTTCAAGGCTGACGGGTCCTGAATCTAAAAGTTTCGGACTGTTTGCGGTGATGATAACTCTCAGTTTAATTACTAGTATGGTTGCTCGTATTAGTACCAGTAGCATCAAGGAAATAGCAGTAGTAGTCTATTTATGACCAGTATTTCTCAGACCCTAAGCCTCGAACCCCATGCTCAGAGAGATTGAGGCCAAGAAAAAGCAGAATTCAGAGCTTCGGGTGTAAAGCAAGGTTTGTTTTTTTTTTTCAGGGTTCGTGGGAGTTGCATTCGTAGAACAGTCGGAGGTCTGGGCTCAGTATCAGTACTTTGGCTATAGGGCCCAGGGCCGATGCCCTGGACTTCTGTGGTTTCGGATTCAGGATTTTTTGGTTTACCGCACCTTCGGTGGGATGAGGGTGCGGTTTAGGTCCTTGCTATGTTTCCTTTCCCGACGTGGCACCACGTCGAAGGTGGACGACTCTGCTTTGGAGTGATGTCGTCGTGGGACTGACCATGATGTTGGTTGTCAGTACCTCTGAAGAACACGTCTGGCTTTCCGATCTGGGGCCTGCTCCAAACTTAGATCCTGTCCTGAGTCCACAAACATGAATCAAGCCCTAGGTACTTAATAGGTATTTGGGCCCCGAAAGTATATACTATACTAGTACTTGGACCCTTTGGGAAGTATATCATGCGCACCGGACGACGACAACTCGCAGAGGGCTCGAATGTTTCGGGTCACTCTTAGACCGCCTCGACCCCGCAACCCCGCAGCCCTCTATCCCGGAATGACCGATATACCAGGCATCAGTGCCTCCAAAGCTTAAGCGTCCTAAGCCCAAACACTCAAATTACATTGGACCCTTGTAAAGGAAGCTCAAACCTTGTATAAACCATAATCCCCTCAAGTAAGGGTGCTATCATAGGGCTCCCTCTAAGGGTACTATCAACCCTAAACCCTAAACCCTAAACACAGGGTTCCCTTTAAAGGAACCCTTAGCGGGGAAGCAGTGAAGGAGGGGCCAACTCATGGCAAGAAGTGCGAGCAGCAGAGAGCTCCCAAGGTGCTTCGTACCCCGAAACCCACTCCACTTCTAGAGTTTAAGAGGAAAAAAGAGAGTTTAAAAGGGATATGTAGGGTTTAGAGGGAAAAATAGAGTTCAAAAAGGAGTTTCCGAAAATGAGGGGTGCCTTAATTTGGGGGGTCCTTATATATAAGGGTCCTACTACTTAGGGTACTATATTAGAGTCCCCTACTTTCGGAAACCCCCAGAAGGGATATGTAGGGCGTAGGGTTTAGGGTTTAGGGTTTAGGGTTTTAGGGGGTGTGTATATATATATATATATGTTAAAATATACATATACATATATATGTTCAAATATACATAATGCTTTGTATTTATGTTTCAATGTATTTGTTTGCGAAGTTTGTCGGGTTTATAGGGCTTGGGTTTGGGGGTCTAGCTTTGACTCTGGGCACTTTGTGCCCCTTCAAGCTGCAGGCTCTTCCAAGGCTTACACACTTCTTGGAATCTCTGATTGTTGGACTTGTTTACGAACGAAATTTGGAATCATTTAAACCTGCTTCTAGAACTCGTAACGGCGTAATTAAGTTTAAGTTCCCCACTAAGCAAAAACGTCAGATGGTTTTCTGTCCCAACCCATGTATTTCCCGATCCCCATAGAAGCATCCGGATTGTAGAGGCCCTGCACGTAGTGCCTGATGAGTTCAACACTTGTATTGTTTAGTCCTAGAGAAAGTTCTGCGGCTACAAGGTCAGCAATAAACTAGGGACACGATTCATTGTTTATCCATCAAGGTTTCATTAGTTGGTATTTAAACTAGAGTTACAATTCAGGGCGTAGGGCAGCCACCAGCCTGCCACCGGTTTGATAATGTAGGGGCCTTAATACTTCGAATAGGGTTTTTGGGTAGGGGCCTTAATACTTAGAATAGGGTTTTTGGGGGGGTTCCGTACCATAATTATACTATAAAGGAGGCCAGAAATCCTACTCTAATCATTAAGGCCCCTACATTACCATCCTTCCCTGAGCGCCAAGAGGGAAGCCCTGAAATCCAACAGAAAGCACGCAGCAACATGACGGCCGCTTGAAAACCCCAAGACCAAGACCCGAAGGGCCCAAACGCCCCACCAATCACGAGACACTTTTGGCGGCTCTAAACCCATGGGTTTCGGGTTTAGGGTTTAGGGGTTTAGGGTTTAGGGAGAATGAAAAAGGTAGTCTGAGGGCTGTAGACCGTAGACCCGTAAGTCATTGGAGGAACAGCGCCAGGCATCCGTTCCCACACCCGCAAACCCTGAATAGTCTAAAGCCGCCTCCAAAACCGTCAAAACTGCCGAGGCGCGAAAACCTTTTGAGTTTGGAGTTTATTATAGGGTTTCGGGTTTAGGGTTTAGGGTTTGGGTTTAGGGAGTTTAGGGCCTAAGGGTATAGGGTCCCCCAGAGCCCCAACGTCCGGTCCAAGGACGCGGAAAGAACGAAGCCCCCCAAGGAGGAGTCTGCCGACGGGTCTGGCGATGCCCTTTGCCCCAAAGCCTACAGAACCCTAAACTACCCTATAAACCTTGAAGCAAAAAAAAGAAGTCCTGAACCCTATACCTAAAGGCCCAAAGAACCCTCAACAATCCTAGTGTAGGCGCCTAAATAATTACCAATACTATTTTGGAGGCTCTTTATTCTAATCACAGTATAAGGGGCGCCAAAACCCTATTCTAATTATTAAGGCCCTTATATTAAACCATAAGCAATCCTAAACCCTGAAGCTCTGAACTCTGGAGTCCTGAAGCCCTAAAACCTCAACTCTCCCAAGCCGCAGAAACCCTCTTAAGCGCCTTTTTTGTTGCTCCACAGAAGCAGCTCCAGGTCTGTCCGTAAACCCACTTTAGGATTTTGCGGGTTTAGGGGTTAAGCGCTTTGGGACTTTGCGAACTTAGGGCTTTGGGAATCTACAGGGTTATGGTTTAGGAGGCTTCAACTCTCAACCAGGGTTTAGTTTAGGGGTTGAGACGTGTCGTTAAATGGGAGCCCCAGCTTTTTTGCTTGTTCAGGGTTCTGAAGCCGGTTGGTTTGTATGTATGCCTGTATGGATGTAACGTATGTATATATATATATAACAAGAAAGCATACATAAGTAGACAGCGAGAGACAGACAAAGATAAGCTCTCTTTTTCTGTTTGATTCTCCTTCTCTCACTCTCTCTCTCTCTCTCTCTCTCTCTCTCTCCCTCTCTGAACTGTCAGTGTCTGTGGTTGCCTGGTTAAGCCGCTAAGATCTATCTTAAATCCCAGAAACCCTTCAGACATTGGATTGACCGCAATTGGACTTTGATAGTCGCTGCGTGCTGTGCCGTTTGTTGCCTGTTCCCTTACATAGGGTTTATAGGGTTAAGGGTAGTGGTTGCAGTCAAAGCATGGTTCTCTCAATACAGGGCGGCCCATACAGGAGTCTTTAAGCTAGTTGGTCGAACCAACAAGAGCCTTAGCCTTCACTGACAATATTGCAGGAGGTCCTGCTTTAGACACCACCACCACCACTACTATTTCGGCTTCTACTACAACTCTACCACCACCGCCGCCGCCACGACGACGACGACAACTACTACGACTACTACTGCTGCTACTAAACTACTACTGTTACTTCTGCTGCTACTGCTACTACTCGCACAGAGGCCCTCGCAAGCATCGACCGTCAGGTCGGTCTCCAAGTGGGAGTTTCCGAAATAAGGGGTACCCTATTTTGGGGTCCTTATAATAAGGTTCCTACTATTTAGGTTACTATATTGGGGTCCCCTATTTTCGGGAACCCCCAAGTATACAACAGCAGAAGCAGCAGCAGATTATTCCCCGTCGCCTGCAGCATCCTGTTCATCTTCCTTCATCAGCTCGTCAGCAGTAGCACCGCCACCGCCGCCACTCTCACCACCACCGCCTCCGCCACCAGCAGCATCATCGCCATGATTCATCGCCAGTCTTCTTCACAGTCAGCGGCACCCTTTTCATCACCAGCAGATTCAGAATTTCATTATACAATCTGCCTAACACATGAGTCATCAACACTGTTTTTTGCGACGTCCTCACCATCACCAAGACCATGATCATTGTCCTCCTCACCACCCTCATCATCATCATCATCACCCTCATCACCATAATCAACATCATCATCATCATCATCATTATCATCATCGTCATCCGTCTGATAATCACCAATCATCCCCACCACCATTGCCATGAGACGGGGCGCCAATGTGCGCCTGAGCTAAGGCATGGAAATCCTGGGGCAACCAGAACTGGAAGGGCGGCAAGAGTTGGAACAATTGGCAGGCAGCTCCATGACGTCCTGTCTGTGCGTAAGGGATTCTGCACAGCATTTTCTTGATTATGGACTGAAGTGCTTATGGCCTCGAGGGTCCACGGTTTGGGATTTGTTACTGGTCTTGGAACGAAGCCGCCGCCCAGAACTTGGCGTCCTGTGCCTTGCATGCGACAGCCGAGGGATACGTCCTGCTTTGGCCGTGCAGCTTACCCTAGAAACCCAGCGACTACATACTGAGTGGCGGTTCCATGATTAGGATTGATTCAGGGTTTGGGTTTTAGGGTCTATAGGGTTTCGGGAATCAGGACCGGGGTTTTAGAGGTTTCCATCGCTTAATATAGAAGCCTAAATAATTACCAATAGTATTTTTGGTGCTCCTGGTTATAATTATAGTAGAATATACCCCAAACCCCTATTCTAATTATTCAGGCCCCTACATTGCCATAGGGTGCCCAGGGCAACAACAAGTGGAGCAACTGGAAGAAGCCTGAGGCGGTCGAGGACTGGTCGTGGGGTTTGGGTGCGGGCGGGCGGGGGTTTAGGGTTTAGGGTTAAGGGGGCTTCTTGCCGTAGAATCGTAGAATCTTCAACCCATAGTCCCTAAACCCTGGGCCCGAAACGGTTGGACAGCCTACCATGTCTCTTAGCACCCAGATTCTGGACACCAAGGCTTTCTAGCACAGCTACATGATCGAACCTCGCCAAGCCTTTCCCTGCATCGAAGCCACTTCACGGTGCTACTTTAGGGTACAGGGTCCAGGGCTTTACGGCTTAACGTTTAGGGTTGAGGTGCTTACGTTTCTGGGTTCAGGTTTTTAGATTGAGTGTTCGACAACATACGCCCTGATTCCCAAGCGCAGATGCCAAAAGCCCACTCGTAATGAAGGCACACTAATGGCTAAACGACAGACACGCGACTGCCGAACAAATACATTCCTTTGTATTTTCAGTGTAAACATGCATGCCTGCTTACATACATACATCCACATATATGTCTATATATATATATATATATATATGTATGTGTATATATATATATATATATACATTTTCGTATATGTATATATGTACACGCCGTATGTGTATGCATGTGTGTGTGAGGAAAGACGTGTACATATACGCACCCTCAAAGCCTCGTAGGGAACCTCTAGGAGAAGCCCTTTAGCAAGGGAGCCTCTGAAGATTCGGTTATCATTAGAGGGTTTAGGGTTTAGGGTAGGGTTTAGGGTTTAGGGTTTAGGGTTTAAGAGGGCTTGAGAGGATTCAGGGTTTGGGGTTTGTGGTTTCAGGGCTTAATGTCGAAGGGATTACGGACTTACAGCTTAGCTTTGGTGGGTCTGGTTGTAGTTTGGGGCGATTGGAGGTTGGATCTCAGCAACTGTTATCACTAGCACCTCGCTCATCAAACTCATCGGAAGTGCTACTGGCCACAGTACATTACCATCAGCAGCGTGACGACCGGGTGGCGGCTATCACGACCACTATGCTTTCATGAGCAACATCGTGACAACCACAATCTTTCAACTGGTGCTACTCTAAGCAGTATCTTGAGTACTTGTTTTCGATGAACACTGCAAGTGCATTGCTGCCATCCGATGCGAGCGGAAACACAGACCACTTCGCACGCTCCGTTCCGCCCCTTGTAAGGGTGGCAATTAGCTGCCTTGGCCGTCAAACTTGATTACATCTAAGCTTCCTATTCTCCGTGGTATGTACCGCGGTCTGAGACACGACGACGTTGCAGCCCTTGCCTAGTTCGTCCGAGTCTGATTGACAATAGCAGTCCCTAAGCTCGGAACCTCATTGCCATGCCTGCCT